AGAGCAGGAGACTTCTCTCCCTTCCCCTCACACATGGGCTGTAGAAAAGATAAATGCTACTGTCACAGGCCAGGGGACAACAACCATTTATTTCAGTAGCTATGATTATAATTCCCCTCCCCTTCAGGTGTTTTTAAGAAAGCGTGAGACAAACTATAATATCAATCAGAATTTAAATATCCAGCCAACAGAAAGCATGGATGGCTATTTTGGTAGATGCTGGTTTTGACAAAGACTCAAGATTTCTGCCAATAGCATGTGATTTTAGGTCACTGTCTTGTAGTGCCTAATTTGAGATTCATCTCCTGAGTATTCTCAGAAGGATGTGCTGGAGATCCAAACTACACAAGTGCCTATAGAGCCTCCCTTGACAGTGTTGTGAAAACTCAGAGGGTTTTGCACCAGGGAACCAGAGAGAAAACAGAGGTGCAAGAAGAGATGTCCCCATCAGGAAATACAGTTCCTTTCTCCATGAATGTCAGTCCCTAGAGGGGATTTTGTCTGGAGAATTGAGAAAAAGAGACTCCATGTTATCTCTACTTGAACCTACAGTCTTCCTGCCGAGGCTGTCTTTGGAGGAACTCTGAGTTGCTTTCTGACATACAGTGAAGCAGCCTACTGGATGAAGAGGCAAATTTTGGATTAAAAATGAGAATGTCTGAACAGAGCTGGACATAAATCTGCCTGATTACAGCAAATACCATTAAAATACAAGAGCACCAAGCCATCAAATATTTTAGGCTTAAATAGAATTACCGAACAATTGCTAGCCTTCATGTGTGGCTTGGAAACACATCTACCTTTTTAAATTATTTTATCATCTTTTTGCAGATTTGGGAGTGCAGATTCTCAAGTATTACTAGAACAAAATCAAAACAAGTTTTTGTAAAGCAAAATACATTTTCAGTTCTGTAATCTATGTTTGCAAAGATGGGAGCATAATTGCTCTTCACATCTCCCCGCAGAGAGAACATTCTTGTAGTTTTTCAAAATAGGACGTTTTTGCCTAGCTGTGTAATTTGAAAAATATTTCTTTAAAACACTAGCAGTTTGCAGGGGATTCTGCTTATGATCAGTGCCCATAAGCTCCTATTTCTTCATAATGCACAGGGAATAACACCTGTCTTAATAATTCTGTTTGCAAAGCATTGGTCTAGAAGGAGCTCCCTCATCCCACAACAGGAGAGCATTGTATTGTAGAAAGTGAAAATGAGCACTTCCATCCTTACCTGCACCTGACCTTAGCTGTTTGATGGTTAAATAGCAACTTTCTGGGGAAAGTGGTGGAAAGATGTGAACACCCGTTGCATCAAGCGTGGCAAGGTCTCACACCCTTCTGCAACTACAGCAGCTGACGTGAAATACAGTGCTTTGTTCTCTTTATACCCAGTCTGACCTTTCCCAGATTCACTGTGGTGCTGTTGACTGTAAAGGCTGCAACCTCTACTGCCCTTTACTGAGCATTCTGGCTCATAATCCACACTCACTTCATCCTCCCTGGAGAGCGGAGGTTTGAGGGTTTTTTTGTCCTCTTCCGAGTCCTTCCATCTCCACGTGTTCTGCCAGCATCTGTCCTCAGGTGGCAGAACCCACAGCCTATGTCAGTCCACCATGGAGGAAAGACAAATCTTTTTCACAAAACACAGAAAGCAGAAGAAAAGAACAAGTGCCTGATAATTTTGCTGTGCTTGTGTGTCTCAGGTGAGTTCAGGCAACTCTGTACGGGTCCCACTGACATCTCCGCATTGGAATTCAGCTCTAAGAAAGCAGAGGTCTTGTACAGCAGTTAGTTTGTTACGTGGTTGGTAGCTGGAAGCTTTTGGCAGGTGCATCACCAAGCGATGGCCCAGGCCCCAAAATGTGTCTTCTCAAGATGCCTCAGACTCTATAGGTCCCTAAGGAGGAGATTGGGGGTTACAAAACCAGTGTCAGAGAATGATTTGTCAGAAGAGACCCAGCAAGGAGACAAGTGTAGTATTGGCAAAATCAACCAAGCTATGCCCCATTGACAACAGCTGATGAGAAAGGTCCAGTCTCCTGCAGCACAGGTATAAGGGAACAAATAGAGGCATCAGCTTCAGTAGCTTGGTAACAGGTATGAGTTAGGATGAAATGTATGCTCAGCACCAATTCAGGCTAACGAGCTTGTGGGATGGCTCTGCAGTATTGAGAAAATAGTACCACCCTAAACTGATGAACAAGCAGCACATGTTTGCAGAGAAAGGAGTAGTAATACTGGGAAACTTCCTTAGACCATTTAAGAAAGTCTTAGGATGGTTTATAGGAAGCACATCATGCTTTATGAACTATGCTCAGTTTATGTATGCTCTTACATAGGCCAAAAAGAAATGTCAAGGGAGTAAGGATTGAAAGAAGTAGGTTTAGGAAAGAAAAGTGGTGAAAAGAGAGAACTTTATACCTTTAACAACACAAAATAACCAGTTACAAGATCAAAACTTGTGCAGAGATTAACAAAACTGAGGTAAAGCTTAAACTCAGTCTTTCCAGAAGCCAGATGGCAACTAGATATATCCACCTGCTGTGTTTGGTTTAGTGCTGTTTTATAATAATTTTTAGATTATAAAGAAAGATCTCTGCCATTCTGTGATCTTCTTTTGCCCCTGGATTGTTACTTGCTATGGGATCAATGAAGTTCTTGATCCTTTGCAGCATGACTTCCAAAGCTTGAGCAGCTATGTCCCCAAAGCCACACAATTATGTGGAGGAGGGAATGTGTGGTTTCCATTATTCTGTTTCCCTGCAGAGCAGGCATGTAGTATCTGGTTTTTTTCACTAATATCGATACAAATAAGCTTCTCATAGCTTTTCTGTATTTCTCAGAACATGTCTTGATTTAAAAGGAAAGTTTATAGCTATTTTGTAGGCAAGTACTTCTCATGGCTTACAATGACTTTCCTGATTACTCTGAAGCTTTGTGAAGTGTCCCCTCCAAAGGGAATGGGACAGAAATACATTTGTTACTAATTACCACAACAGGATAAATTAAGATCACCAGCACTTACAGAGAAAGGGTGGAGGACTTGGAAAAGATAAGAGGTCAGAAAGCAGAAAATACACAAAGAGCACATAAATACACAAAGAGCATATCTATATTACTTCAGGAGAAGCATTATTACATCTGCAACTGATAGGAGTTCTGACATACAGCGAGAAAAATGGAGCCATACAATTTTATTATCTTCATCTAGAGCAATAAAGTGGCAATTAACCCTGCACATTTGCCAAGTCACTCGAATTGGTTTGTAATACTGTGTTTTTTCTTTCTTTCTTTTTTTCTTTCTTTCTTTGTAGTTCTGAATAACAGCACCAGATTCTGTCCTGGTGTCCCTGGAACACCTGGACATTTTCCTAAGGTCAGTAGGTAATTTACAATAACCTTGTGAGGAATTAGATTATTTCTCCTTCTGGAAAGACCAATGTGAGGGGTTAAGAAGCACCTGTGAGGTCCCCCTCCTCCATGGTTTTCTGTTATTTAGTTTCTGTCAAGAAATGTGGTGGAGCTGCACCTTAAACTGTGAACACCACAGCGTTCAGTACTGTTTGCATTTTCCTCCTTTTCTTTTCTTGAGTGTGCCATGATTTTTTTCCACTAGATTTCTCCTACATCTGCCCTGAAGCAAATGCAAGCAGAACTGAGGAATCTCAGCCTCTTCTCCAGAGCTGGCAGAAGTTGCCTGTTGTCATTGCAGGTCTGTAAGTGTTTGCATAAGAAATAGGTGCAAGTCAGCAAACTCCAGCTTTTCTGTTCTGCAGGTGCAGCCGTCCCTTGTGTGACAGATGCCAACTCCTGACTGACATGTCTGCATGTTGTGTGGTATTTTCCGTGCAGGGTAAGAGACTGGTCAGCCTGCCCAGCCCTTTACCTCGTCTCTGACAGCAGCCACTGGTAGGTATGCGGGGAGGGACCCTAACAAGCCTCTTGCCTGGGGTTCTCCTAGTCCATTGACCCAGCTGCAGACACTGGATTATTTGTATCAGACATAAGAGCCCTGAAGCAACACTGTTCGCCTCCTTTTGGCAGAGACCACTCCAAAGAGTTACAGTTTGGAAACAGTATTGAAAAAGTATCATGCAGCTATTTAAGTGGAATAGGAATCCTGGATGTCCTCACCTTATGGACAGGGGGATGAGGAAATCTCAAGTGTGAGGGAGGTGGACTATAGCCGACATGGATGCTGCTGAGGGAGGTCACTGTGTGGAACTTCTGCTGCAATGGAAAGGGATGTTATGTTAGCGTGACACAACAGCGTAGGACGAGGCAAAGCACTGTAGGATGAGGGTCACATCAGGACCTGCTTATTCTGCTACTAACCTTAGGGTACAACTGGCAGGCCCTGATTCTCAGTGGGAGGATGAAAGAAGTGGGAGGATGTTCTGGGAGACCCAGAGCAATCTTTACTTTACACAGTACAGAGGACAAGGAGCAATGTGAAGAATGCCACAGAGGCCACAGTCAGACCAAGGGCTGATAAATAGCCATACTCAAGGTGGAAAACTGAGACCATGCACACAGTGAAAGGACTTTAAGGTACACTGCATGAATTTTGAGCCAATGTGTTTTCTCTTGATGTGGAACCTAGGTCTCCTTCTCCTCCTCTAAACAATGGCTCCTCTTCACCTCTTCAGAAAACAAGATGATTGATTTTTAAAGCTGCCATGCATTTTACAATAGCAAGTTAGTGATAGAAAGAGAAAAAATTACAACAAATTAGTGTTTTGGCAAGTAGAATTAGGCTGTATAAAACAATAACATTAGAAAAACCAATTCATTGCAGATAAAGTCTATGACAACAAATCTTCAAACAACCAAAGAACACAAGACTGGTACTTAGAGCACATCTTGTGCCCACCTCAGTGCCACTGCAGGCAGAGGTCTTGATTTTTAAGGACAACCTGTTGCATGTTTTACACAGGTATCTGTTACATGAGCACATTAAAGATCTAGCTCCAGCTTAGAAGCCTGTTTTCTGGAGCAGATGTGATGCTTCCTGTGATGCTGGGGAATGGAGTGGATGTGAACTGCTCACTCAGATACTGCTTGTTTCTTGGATGAGCAGCTTTTCTTCCCTCGTGGAGTATTTTTCTGCTTTGCACCCACATCCCTTCCTTCAGGAGGAGCAAACTTAGCACTGTTTCCTGGAGACACCCGTTGCTGGTCCCTCTCAAGTTCCTTCAGTGAGAAGCCTTGTGTCCTTCACAACCACACAACAATTTCCTAAGCCATTGGGTGAGGAGCTCTGTTCCCCTAAACAGAGGAGCAGCAAATGCTTGTGGACTCTGTGTCAGGCTTACCAGCTCTAACAAGCACCACTTGTCAGGCCCCTAACACACTCTCCTACCCTTCCAAGGCTCTTGAATGCCTAGGCTTGGGGCCAGCTTAGGTAAGGGTTGCAGGTGTCACATCTTGAATCAAAGGTTTGAGAAAACACTGTGAGAAGCCTTGATGGGAATGGCCACTCTCCTCTGTGCTTTTAAGCTGACCACTCTACCTCTGCTCTCTGCCTAAGCTACTCTGTAGCTACATCACAGACATGCCTGTGCCCATTCCTGTGCTCCAGGCTGGCCACCTACCCGAGATGGACACAGCCCAAGGAACGCAAGAAGCATATGAAGCTTGTTCACAAATCCTCCCTGGCACTGGAAACAAAGCACCATATGTTCGAGCAGCCAGAGCAAAAGGATGCATCCAAGGCAAAGGGAGTCAAGAGCAGAAGGGCAAGGGAGGTACACAGGGAAGGCATCAGGACATCTGCTTCATGATTCTCCTCCTCCTTATGGCCACTGGTGGGTAACACCAGGGGGTGCCTCTCTGACTTCACTTCCTGATATCCTGCCCCTAAGGTGGCTACTCTTTATGAGCATCTTCCCCTCTCCTGCTGCTTTTGGACATCATCACTTCCCTCCTCTTTGCTTTAGGCTTTCCTAGCCCCTTGCTGTGTTAGCTGCCTGCTCAGCCCAGTGTGTAGGTGAAACCAACAGCTGTATCAGCAACAAGCACTGGGAACGAGGAGATCAGGTCCTGTACATGTGCCATTGTCCCCAGAGCAGAGCATGGCAGGCAAGCCCCCACCCCACTGTCACTGATACATAAGTCACAAAGGTCGCCTGCATCACTGGTCTGTCACACTGGGTCTGCTGGCTCAGACTGTAGATATTCAGAGTTTTAACTAACATGGAAACAAGTAGGGCTTTCTTTTTTGAACACGTATAGTTGAGGCTAATAAAGTTTTGCATCAGTTTATTGTTTTGTGTGAGCTTATTGCCTTTGAAATGTGTGATTTCCAACATGTATAGTCGAGGCTGATAAAGTTTTGTATCAGTTCATTGCCTTTGAAATGTATGATTTTCATGTTTGTCCTGAATGTCATCTGTTAACATTTCTTCTTTTCCTGGACAACCAATAAAAAAATGCTTGTATTAGGAATTGAGATAAATGCTTTATTGACTCATTTGAAATACCCTTTTTTGTGATGTAAAGTCATTTATATTCAACGCTCAATCTCATATGGCAAAAGAAAACATAAAAAGGGTCAGCATAAACATCAGCACTGCAACACACCATGAAAATGATCTCTGAAGAACCCCCTACACTGTCCAGCTCCTCCTGGGACTTCTGACCTGCTCAAGAGTCACAGATCTGTACCAGAACATCCCATGTCTTCCTGCCATCATGCTGGGCTCATGAATGAGGGATGGAAAGCATGCCTTCAGTCCCTGGGAATCACTGCAGGCATCCCAGTGACACTTGTGTTGAATGTCCCCTCTGAGACAGAAGAACTCAGCAAGTCTCTTATTCATCACTTTGATGCCTGAGAATCTACAGGTTTTAGAAAATGAAGTCTCCCTGACTCTTCCCTTTTTCCATTTCAGTGTTTTCCTTCCACCTTGCATTTTGCAGTCCTCTCAGCCTACAGACCTGTGCAGGATCTTTTATCCCACAACCTTTTGGGAGGTTGTCATGCAGCAGTTGCACAATGTACATAAGTAAAGAAGCTACAAGGACTGCACGAGTCACACAAAACCAAACTAAATTACACACTGTTTTTTACTAGGTTCTGATGACTTCAGAAGCACAGCAAGGGCCTCTGTAATACTTATGAATTACTCACATAGTATTATTTCAGTGCAGGAGCAGGATAGAATAGTCACACAGGGGGTGCTCTACGGATGTGGTACCGTACAGAAAGACCTCACTATTTCCATGCAGGAATAAAAGAACCAGGTATACCTTTCTAGTTTTGATGCAGGATTTGGTTTTTAGCACCTGGATAACATTACTGACCTCCAGAGCATTGCTGTAGACTGTGAAGTAGTACCAAATAAAATACAAAGTTCTACATTTACTTTCTCCTGAAGATTTTTCTGTCAAACTGGGTCAACTTCTCAGTAAAGCAAGAGAGCATTTTAATCTGTCAGCTCTTCAAAACTAGTCTGGTACTTGAAAATTACTTCTGGGCTTAAAAATGTTGTGGACTCTGAATTTGGAAGGCAGTATTGTTGGTGCATAAGATCTAATGGTATAGAATTCAAAACCTGATCTTTTCTGATCTTAGCTGACCATTATTTTAGCAAATGTTTGCTTTGGTGGGTTTTTGGCGTGATATGAACAAATGAAAGCTCCACAAAGATATTTTTGCTTAGACTGAAAATGAAAAACTAAACCAACATCCCCCCAGTTTTTTAATCAGTAGCATTTGCCACCTTTAAAAAAATACACTCTATTATAGGCGTGGAAGCAGACCATAAAACTGCTCTGCCCAGATCTGCAGGGGAATCAAACAGATGGCAGATCCCACTGCAGTTTGGATAAAGATTTCATAGCTAGATAATCAAGAAAATAGTAAAGTGGTTTCAAGGTCAGCAATGAGGTGAAAACCAGATTTTCTTCAGCTAGGAGCATCTACAGCCTTTCTCACACATTTAGAGGAAATGCACCAAACTCAGAAATTCCTTCACTACCAGGAGCAAAAGCCATCAGTGTAAGAAGATATTGCTACAGGGGAGAATTTTCTTGGTTAACTAGCTTTTTTAAAATTAAAATTAAAACTATTATTTATAAATAGTTGTGCATGACTATTTATGCGAGTATATGTTAGTATGTTTTTTTAAATTCAATTAAACCTGCAGGTGGTCATACACCAGATTGTAAATAATATTAGTTATGAATTTTGGCAACCAAAATGATTTTCAAATAATGGTTATTGTTATTGAATTTGTTCTGGGACCAACACGCATGTAGAGCTGTTGGCAGATGATTCTTTTCCTCTGTGCTTGTGTCTTTCATGCCCTCACGAATCCCTGAATTGAGAAGTTATAGCTTTAAATGGAAAATATCCTCCCTGATTTGTTGTGTTCTTTTAAAAATAAAAACCTCAAGCAATCCAGTTTGTGATATCCATCAGGCTCAGCCACACAGATCTGGAGGCTGTATTTCTCTCTTGTTTATGTTGCTGATCTGGTTTTAGTTAATTTTCACTTCCAGATGTCTCTTGTGCATGTGTTTTTTTTTTTTTCTGGTTAACAGGATATAAATTACCTTGATAGGACGGAGCTGTTTGCTCTGTTTTACTTGTTTTATTTCTGGATGTGTTTTCCAGAACCTGATCCCTCATCAGGCAAAAACGAAGTAAGTTTTACTGGCTTAAAACACAGCTTTTACTACAATTATTTAATGGCATGAAATATACACAACTCAGTGAGGAATCATTTTTGTAGTCTGAGCGTTTGTCTCTTCTTTCATTAAATGTGCACAAAGCCCTGCTCTGGCAAGGGTTGGATTCACCTCTCAGGCCACTGAGGAATACAAAGACTCCAGTTAGCATGGCTGAAAGAACAAAGGTGTGGGTTACTGTTATGAAGGCTGGCTCCTACTTGCTAGGTTAGTATATTATCTACAGAAAACAATGCTAAACGGCATCATTTTTGGTATCTCCCTTCTGTGAGAGGCAAAGGTTTTGGCTTTTCTCATTTTCAGTGAAAGAGGTGTTGTACAGCACTGTTAGTAGACCTGCAATGGGGTCTCTGCCAAGCAAATCAATTCTGCACTGCATCATCTTCTGCTGAATCACTTCTGGTTCTGAGGGTTCCCGCTGAGGGAGTGGAGGATGGTGCCACTGTCCAAATAGCTCCTCCAGGATTTTTCCTGCAGGGGTTTCTGAAGAGGGGTGTTTGGGGTGCAGTGGTGTCAGTTGTGGCTTAGTGAACTTGAGCAGATCCCCACCATGTTTCTTCAGGTACAAGGGGGCCAGATGCCTTTGCATATGGATATTGAATTGCTGGGTTATGTAAAGCACTGCAGCAATCAAATACTTCCTACTGCTTTCCCAAAGAACTGCTGCGGGGACACTCACACATTGCATACAAGGATCCCAGGGCACCTCGTACTTTTTTCTGAAGCTTTGAGAGCTTAAAGAGGTGAGATCCAGCAATCTTGGAAAAAGCCTGAGGACTGGTCCACCGAGTAGAAAATCTCAAGGGCTGGGACAGCCCCAGGTTTGTTCTGTGTTGCCATTTCCCCATTGGTAGCACAGGGGTAATAACATTCAACTGCAGGCACTCAAAGAATAGAAATGCTTCTAAAATTTTCCAAAGCTTACAAAGTTATGTAGAGTCATTACTACTGCTTCTCTAACCCAAAAAAGGCTGTGATTCAGGGGCCTGCACTTTGCAGTTATCATCTCCAGACAGTCCTTGGTGGGACAATTCAACTTACAGCAACATTTGCTTAATTTAGGGACCAGATGCAGGTGCTTTTTGGGTACTTTCTGCCTGCTGACCAGCTCACCTGAACACAGTTTGAGAAGAGCAGTCACAGAGCACATGCCAACAACCAGCAGCACAGAGGCACGTACCAGCTGTTGTCACCGAGGTTACATTTTAATTGTTATTCAGACTTGCATTGTCAAACCTACTATTTTGGGTTTTGTGCTAGTCAGCCGAGGTCCTGAGCTCCTGCTGATCAAGGATCATGAAGGAGACGATGCAGCAAGTCAGTGAGATTTGTATGCTGAAAGTCACTCGTGCTTTGAGAGCCTGCCAAAAATAATGTTTCAGAGGGCATGTATAACACTGCCAAAATCAAGCTGATGAATGGCTGTATCATTGAATTTGGATGCAGAATGAGGGTCAAGTTCAGAACAGTCTAGCAGCAGGCTATTCACACAATCTGAGCAGGATGGGACCAGGGCATTTTGTAATCAACACTTATTAAAAAGAAGTTGTTTAGCCTAAAGTGCAGGAGAGGGACGGCAGAGAGAAATTAAATCTGGAAGGTAGATGATAAGGCAAGTTTAGGGCTGTATGGTGACAGGCTTATCTGAGCTTTTGGAAGTTTCCTCTAGTGAGGCACAGTAAAACAAGGAAGGGAAATGCTGATGGTCTCTTCTGGAACCTGTACCTATCCAAGAGTCTGCTCTTCAATACTGGTGATGACTCCTCCAGAAGAAGAACTGTTCATGGTTAATATTGATTCAAAACACAGGAACAAGAAGCCTGTAGATTAAATACTGCGTGCTGCTTTGCCTGAAGATGCAAGGGATTTAAAATTAAAAAATGAGGCTTAGTTCTGAAAGCATACAGCCTTGCATTTCATTTTTTCATTGAGGAATTTTATCTCCCTGGGTAACAGGCAGGTGATACAGCAAGAAGTGTATCACTCCTGTCTAGAGAAAGGTGGCAGAGAAAAGCGCAGATCAGGCACAGAAAGTGTCAGGTCCTGGCTGAACATCCTCCTATCTTAGCTTTTGCTTTTCAATTCCATTTACATTTTTCTCTTTAACTGGTGGGTGCTTTCCCATTGCTTTTCACTGAAAGAGATTCTTTTATGACAAGTTACTTTGGACTAAAGCCAGTTTTAACCATTTTTGTAGTGAAGGATCTTGTGACCAAGAGAGATATCACAGTAATTCAGGTCCACCATGTCATGACTTCTGAGAAGAAAACTAAGAGCTTACCTAAGAGACAATGCTGCCTAAAGTAGTTGCTATTACCTTATGAAAAGTGCAGTATCATTTCTAACACACACAAAGGACAGTGCATGGGGGTATGTTGGGAACGCCGTGGACAATTGAATTAAAATAACTGGATATATAGTGATTGTGACTATATCCTACTGTGGCTTTTGTGATCTCAGTGGTACCTTATACGTCAGTCATAAGCTCTGAGTGATGACTAGCCAGTCCAAATCCATAGAAAAAGGCTGAGTCCTTTTTGTGGCATTGTGTTCAGATAGCATTATAGCAAACAGATGACTAAGAAAACCACTTAATGTAAATTAGCTGTTTGTACCCAGAAATCTCATGTGAGAGAGCTCATGATGCTCAGTGGAAAACAAATACAACGAGAGAACAACAAACATGTAATTGAATATTGTTTAAAGCTGAGGCTATCTATCCAAAATCATCTGTTTAGTGTTGCTATGATATCTAGTGATGGATAAATCCACACCACTGTATCTGGGCATACTGGTTTAATAGATAGTTGTTTGTTCTACATCTATGCTTAGATTACTAAATGACTTGTGTGAGGCAAATTAAATCTCATGGCAGAATATTACATTAGAAACATTAGCTAAGCCTTATAGACCTGAATTATTGCAGAGCTATTCCAAATCATGAGTGATGATTTATACCTATGGTTTTATTAATTTATTGCCTGGCCCTAAATTGGAGGGTTGCTCTTCAGAAAAATGTCTCAGTTAAAATAAGAACTGAACTCCAGAAGACAGAGGACTTTGATTCAAGATAGCAAAGAGGATAATAAGGATTGAAGAGTCTGTAAATGATGTATTAGCTTGCAGCTCGAATTCAGCTCCGGCAGAAATCTTGCCAAGATACCCAATTTTCTTATCTCTGGACAGCAGAGCTGATAGCTTTCCATTTCATTCAGAGAAGAGTCAGATTTTGAACTGTGCACCAAACAGTTATCAGTGTGTCCCTGTTCTACCCAAACAAGTCCATTTCAGTTATCTTTAAGGTCAGACCTAGAGCAGGGCAGTTCACATAAGGAGTTTGTCTTTAGCTGCCCAGCTCCTGCTCAGGTCCCGCTTTCTGCGAGCCTTGGATGGACCACAAATGTTGTGTCTTTGGTCAAGGACTTTACCACATCTCAAGGATTCATCGTCTTCCTCACCACTGCCAGACATCCATCATGGGGATCTGGGGCTAAAAGTGTTGGTTGCTTTGTTCCCTAATCTCCCTGTGTTTCCTCGCATCCTCCCAAATGCCCACAGTGGGGTTAAACCACATGGGTATCAATTCCTGCAGCATGGATTTGTCTGTGTACAAGCACTGATAAATGGTCCTTCTCCAAATATCCCTGTGAACAAAGAGTGGCAATTCAAATGTTTGCTGAAACACAAAGGGATTTAAGCCTGGCTGACCAGGATCTGTCTGCTTAGATACAAATATTTGAGGGGACATTTCTCCATCATTTTCTCAGCTAATTTCCAGGGATATACAAAACTGATTATCTAATTGATGACTCACTGTCAGTGTCTATGATCAAAAAATACTGAGCGCCTGCAGAGGGAAGTATGTTTCATTCTCCTGTGTAAAACTGAAGGTGACACTTCAAAGCCCGGAGGGTGAAGGTCGGCCTTCATAGGAGCACGGAAGAAGAGGTTACTATACTTTCATTAGACAAAGAGGTCACATTTTTAAAGGTCAAATCTTTCATCTTCAATTTCTTAGCTGCAATCTAACCAGTGCTTTGAAATGCATTGCTGCTCTAGCTGTAAATAAGAGAACCTAAATTCAGGCCAGTTTATGGAGCAAACTCAACACTGTAGTTTACATGGCTTGTCCTCTTTTGAGGCTCGTGAAAAACAAATTTATCCCAGGAGGTGTTGCCTTACAACTGATGTCAGATTATTTTAGAATCAGAGATTGGAAATTAACATCTCGGCAATGATGAAAACTGCTTTGTGTTTAGAGAGCAGGAAGTTAAATGCCTGCATCCATTTTTCCACCTTCGGCTGTGCAGCAGTGCTAAAAACAGACAAAACCAACAACAGCTTGCCTGCTTTTATGAATTCAGGTTGCCCTAGTTTGTATGGCTGTACATGCGTGTGCAGCTACTCTGGGTGAATGGAAAGAAGATCTCCACCTAGAAAAACTGGAGTGTTTTTTGGGGCTGGCACTGGCTTAGAGGGGCACAGGCAAAGATTGGTTAGTGCAGCTGCAAAAAACGTGGCTCACACATCAGAAAATAGGACTGTGATGCATTTGGAGTAGGCAGATGTGCTTTATGAATAGGGGAGTAAGTAGGGCTGCTGGACGTAGAGCACAGCTGTATATGCTATATATGGATGATGTGGAAGAAGAGCCACATAGATAGGCTTGCCTCTGCCATATTAGA